CCCATGACTAAATTGTAGCCTTACTTATAACTTTGCAAAACTTTAACCATCTGTGTTGAGATTTTTTGTTCATTTTCTCTGCCTCAGGCTGAATTGTTCTAGAAAGTTTCTACAAAAAGAGTTCAACCTTTTCTTAGTACGAGGTTATAGAAAAATACTTTGTTTTCTCATGTTAATGAAGTAGTTGTAAGAAATTATTTTAGATCCTCTAGTGTCTTCATGCCTGGGAGAAGGGTTTTCCAATTTGGCAGGGAGCCTTCCTAGTGTCAGGGATGTGCCTTTCATTGTTCTTGAGAAAAAATGCCCAAATTTGACCAGATTATCAGGCTTTGTAAAATCTCAGTTTGCACATGCTTGTTAGAATATGGAGGCTAGAATCTCTGAAGTTTCCATCTGTACTGAGCATGCTCCAGCCCCTCATATCTTCTAAGTGTGACTGGACTATAGTATGGTCCATTCTGGTCAATTTCATGGTCAGAGGATTTAAAAAATCGTAAGTTTCATGATTTCAGCTATTTCAATCTGAAGTTTCACAGCATTGTAATTGTAGGGTCCTGACCCAAAAAGGAGTTGGGGGGGGGGGTCACAAGGTTATTGGGTGGGGCAGTGTTGTAGTACGGCTACCCTTACTTCTGAGCTGCTGCTGGCAGTGGTGCTGCCTTCAGAGCTGGGCAGCGGGAGAGCGACGGCTGCTGGTCGGGATCCCCGGTCGCTGCCAACAGTAGCGCAGAAGTAAGGATGGCACGGTATGGTACTGGCATCCTTAGTTCTGTGCTGCTGCCTGCAAAGTTGAGCCCTCAGTCAGCAGCCACCACTCTCCAGCCACCCAGCTCTGAAGGCAGCAGCGCAGAAGTAAGGGTGGCATGGTATAGTATTAGCACCCTCACTTCTGCGCTGCTGCTGGCAGGGCGCTGCCTTCAGAGCTGGGCTCCCAGCTGACAGCTGCCACTCTCCGGCCACCCAGCTCTGAAGGCAGCTCAGAAGTAAGGATGGCAATACTGCAAACCCCCTAAAATAACCTTGCAACCCCCCTGCAATTCCCTTTTGGGTCAGGACTCTCAATTTGAGAAACGCATGGTTTCCCCCCTGTGAAATCTGTATAGTATAGAGTAAAAGCACACAAAAGACCAGATTTCACAGGGGAGAAACCAGATTTCACGATCCATGATGCATTTTTCAGGGCCATGAATTTGGTAGGGCCCCAACTATAGGAAGAGGATGACGATTTCATGATTAAGTTGAATGCTACCCTGGAGAATTGGATACTATCTTGACCTCTGCCACAGAGTTCCTGTGTGATGCTAGGCAAGTCACTTAAACCGAAATGTTCAAAGTTGCCCAACATTAGACAGCTGGGGGAAGATTTGCAGAAGTGCTGAGCTCTGACACCTGCAGCCAGACTCAATTAGAACTGTGCTTTTAACATATTAAGTGCTATAAAAATGGTGTAAAAGTATTCTGAAAATTCAGGTCCCAAGTATCTCCAATTGGGCACCAAAATTGGTGAACTTTTTTGACAATTTCGGCTTTAATCTCTCTCTGCTTCAGTTCCCAGTCTCTAAAATGGGGATAAAAATACCACCCAATCTCACAAAGGTGTTGTAAAGATAAATTATGTAATGTTTGTGAAGCACTTGGATGTTATGGTTAGAACATCCTAGAAATGTTGAGGAGGAAATTAATAATATTTTATTCAGTGCAGTGTTGGAATGGATAATAAGGCCTTGGGCCACACAGTGAGGATAAAAAGAAATATTAAATAACTACGCATTTACTGATGAGCTGGGTTTCCTGTAGAAAAAATAATATGGGATCATGTAATTAAAGACTGTATCAGAGTGAGAGGGAAAGTTAAGTTTCACAAGCAACCTTAAAATTGTCATTTCCTGACTATTGAGTGCCTGACTTCTTTTAGTGTAATTTAGTATGTACATTGAGTAGCACTCAAGATTGGAGCCCCTATTGTGCTAGGTGCTGTACAGCATCCATGAAGAAATGGTCCCTCCCCCAAAGTGCTTACAATCAAAGATAACAAGTGATGTATGAAGGGGGCAGAGGGACAGATTTATACACTGAAACATCAGAAATTTGTATCTCAGTTTCCAGTTATTGTCCTGATAACTGTATGTAAATTGTTAAGTATCTGAATATTATGGATCTTTACGATTAATGGTATTCATTCACACTCACACCCACAGTAGCAGCTCCAAATGCATATGGCCTTGGTACTGTATATTTTAAAATGCAGATGAATGGATTGGGTCTGATTTTCATTTACACTAAAGCCACTTTAGAACACACTGTGAGTATAAAGCGGCCTTAAAGTGGGAGAAAATTACATTTATACCCACTTTAAGGATCTTTTGCACTGCTGTGTAAAATTACTTTTGTGTAAATGAAAATCAGGTCTATAATCTGTATAAATATATGCACTCTGTTACATTCAGGTTATTTATTACATTGTGCCCAAAGTATGCATGGAGATTTATCGTAGATGATCCATAATCCAGAATTAAACTATTAATATGCATTTATAGAGTGGCAGCCATAACCTTGAAATTCTTTGGTTTAAGTATGACCTTTCACTTTGTTTGAATATATTTTTTTAAATGTATGAATAACAAATTAACATTAGTAGATAAAAAGCATACCATTTCCTTGTAGCACTTATATCTATCCATATTTAAGTTGTACAAAGCCTTGAAGATTATAAGGCTTAATCATTCATAATATTTATTTGTTTTTAAATGTCAGATCTAGGTTACTTTAATATATTGTCAGAGCCCACGTTGTTAATTAAAATGCAGTGGGACAAATTCTCTTGATATGTGCCAAAAAGCACATGCAATTGAGAAAATGGCAGAATCTCCTGGTGCTTAGATTCTGGCCCACTCAGATGAATTGCTCTGTGGAACCTGCTGCGGATGGCATTGAAAAATCTGCTGTTCCATTGACGAACCCTCCTAGTTCCAAGAAATCCATTACAGGCAGTGGATATAGTCTCCTTGTTGTCAGGAATCCATTACAGGAAGTGGCTAGAGTATTGCAGGCCACGGGGCTCTCTCATGCCACAGTGGCCTCACTGTCCAGCTATCTTCCTTTGGTGGCTGAGCCACAAACAGCACTGACAAAGTCGGGCTAGCCTTATTTCAACGGTCCCACCAGCAGGACTGCTTCCTACCTTTGTCACATGTCATGTGATGGCACGTTGGGAGGAACCGGTTACTCAGGAAAACACTATATCCTGCTTTGGGCAGTGCTCAGCAGGCATGTGACTCTGGTCTAAGCATAACCTGCACACTGTTGCTAAGGCTCTGTCATTTTCCTAGCATGTACCCAACAAGCCAAGTGAAAGCAGTAATTGTAGCTGTCCACTGATATTCATCAGCAGTCTGAATAACTGCACATTTCCAGCATGCATTGTGTCTGTCTGAACATGCGCTTTGGCCCCAATTCTGCAAACCACTGAAGCACATGTCTAAATCCATTCCTATTCAGCAAAGCATTTGAAATCAATGGAAGTCGAATGTGTGCTTAAAGTTAACGCTGCTTTGCTTAAACAAGGGCTTTATTTCTGCTTTGCCTTCTCTTCACTTTCATTATCTTAACTTTGCATGGATGTGGTGAGCCATATGTTTACTAGAGAGACAGAAAGATATAGCCATGTTTAAACTCCCACATGAAGAGAACACAAGGGTCTTCCTTCTACCGTTGCTGTCTGTCAGCAATGAACAACTTTATTTTTCGTGTTATTCCCAGAAGTGAAGCCTCTGAAGGGTTCCACCAGTGGCATAGCCAGGTGGAGAAAACAGGGGGAGCGGAGATAAAAAAAAAAAGGCGCCACCCGCTTGTACTCACGCAGCGGTGCTCTGGGTCTTCAGGGGCAGGTCGAAATGCCAAAAAGCTGCCGAAGACCAGAGAGAGTGAAGGACCCGGAGCGCCGCCTGACCCATAGCTACGCTACTGGGTTCCACTTGAGGGTCTGATGCAGGAATGTCAGCCAGGCCCTGCTTACGAAAACATCTGCTGAATCTTAACCTTATCAAAGAATTTGAATTAGCGATCCAGATTGTGGCTGGCACTAATGCAGCTCTACAGTGATTAAAGGGGGAGTAAGATCATCTTCACTTACCAACATGGCCTCCCCAAAACTTGGGTTCAGATGTGAGGGGAAGAACAGGAACTGCACCCCTGAGAAGGTGGGCAAGGAAGGGGTAGAGAGGGGCAGGGAGTGGACACAGCTCCATCCCCTCCACAATGTCAGCAGGTAAAGCTGAACTGGCATGAGTGAAAGCAATCTGCACCTAGTGACATGTATAACTTTCCAAGGGAAGGGAGGATCAGAGAAGGAATTCTAACTCTATAGAGCTTTGTTTTCCCCAGAAAATTAGGTGATGGGGGTGGGAGCACTAACTAGAGAAGCTGCAGCGACTGGCCTGCTATTAACATTCAGGGTTGACAAGGACTATTGTGTTTAACATCATGCCAGCTACTACACCTAGCCAACGCTATGTCAAACACAACAGTCCTCCTCTACTCAGAGTGCTAAGTCTGTTCATTACTATGACTCCTCAAGGCCATTTTCTAACACAACCTAATTTGCAAGTGAAGGCAAGGCCTGAGTCAATTCCTGCCATACTTCTTGATACTCAAGTAATTGAGCAAAGGCTCAGTCTAGCTCTAGGATGACTTTCAAGTTAAGTGGTGACTGAGGTAATTTATGCCATATAGCTCTACGGGGACAGATCATAATGATTTTTATTTTATTTCTTATCTGTATTATGATGTAGCCCAGAGATTCCCAATCAGATTCAGGGCCCCATTGTGCTGGATTCTGTACAGCTAAACCAAACTTCTCAGGAATAGACTGGGAAACCCTGTTGAATGTAAACACTAATTATAACAGTACGTTTTAGCAAAATCAAATTACAAGTATACCTAACTGAACTTCAGCAAACTCATGTTGATCTATGTTTTGCATTTTGTTTTTACTTCTTTAGTCCGCACCTGAAATTTAACAATCTGACCCTGATTTCAACTCATGGGCTTCCAGGAAAAAATCCACCAGGCTCTACGAACAGAGGATTTTTAATTGACAGGTTTGATTTAATTTCTAAATATTTGTGATAGTTTCAAAGGAAAATATAAAACGTGATTTTTTTTTTGTGAATTTGTAGTACAATTCAGCATACACAGGTACAGAAATGTGTATTTTCCTCAAGTCTTAGTGCTCATAATAAGAAACTAAAATACAAACATAATCAGAAAAACTCTCCAGGTCCAGGTCCAGTTCTGTTATGAGTCTCAATCTAGATGTGCTTTCTCAAAGGCATTCTCCACGTCTCCTGTCTCCCGAGCAACCACGCCTTGTGGATGTATGTATCTGTACCTACAAATGATGGAAAGCCATGTCACAGAGATTAATTTTGCATGGAGTTCAGAACATCATGAAGTATTGATCATTTTTACCTCTTGCCAGAAGAAATTCCACTGCCAGAGCCTTTCCCTGCTACCACCCACTGCCAGAGCCTTTCAGTGCCATGTATAGTGACACACTGCAGTGTGGACGCAGCCTACCTTTCACTAGGGCATGTGGCTACATGTACCCTACACACCCCCATAAGTGTAGGCAACACTTTAGGTCTTTGTCTTCAGGGAGTATGTCAGTCTAATGCTAGGTGCCAGCCCAACTAATAGGACAAGACAAAGGCAAAGAAGATTTGAATTTAATAGATAAACCACATCCATACATATATGTTTCATACGTAAACAAATATTTCCAGTGACATTTACAAAATACCTACATTTATAGAAAATTGTAGTTCATAACTGTCTAACCAGAGCTAGTTGTTTAATTTGAAAATAGATAGATAATGGATATGAATTAATTTAATTAAGGAGCAGCTGAAAATTAAAACGATCTTTGGTGGGATTTTCAGAAGCTTCTAAGTGATTTTGGAACACAAGTCTCACTGACTGCCAATGATATTTGTGCTTCTAAATCACACGTGCTTTTCCAAATCCTACCTCTCTTTATTATTTACTTTATGGAAAGTCCTTCCTCTTCCCTTCATCCTGTTTGTTTATTTCTGTCTCTTATTTGTGTCCTGTCTGAACTTATGGCCAGATTTTCAAGAGCATTGATTGTCCAAAACTCTCATCAAAGTAAATGGCAGATGTGGATGCTGAGCACCTCTGAAAATCTGGACATTGGATCACAGAGCTTGTCAGGGCATGGAAGCACTTTTACTTGTTTCTGTGAAGCATGTATCCCATTTCTGGGTACTCTAATAACAATAATAATTAATAATCATTAGCAATCAGTCCTGTGTTTTGAATATGAATATTTATAAATATGAATGTTTATATTTAATATTCATCTTTAATATGAATATAAAATATGACCGTATTGGTACAAACAATAATCATTGTTACTACTTTGTTCCTTTTCAATTTTCTCTGTTATTGTTTATAATGCCAAAGAACTTAGGGGTTCAAACTTGATCAGGATCCCATATTTTTTAGTCAAGCTGTGTTTGGGACCTGCTCCATAGCTCACTGCAGTGGAATAACTCTCATTGGATTTATATTGGGCCTCTTACCACTATCCACCAAATAAGAAATAAAGTGGTGCTTGAGCCACTCACTGCTGATGAGCTTGGTTTGCTAAATGGAATATTTTATTCCTGGCGGCAGTGACTCCAGCTCACAGAATGAGTGAGTTCCAGGCTTTGCACATTGCTTCACAAGGATAAAGGAGTGCTGCAGATTGGTCCTAGATTCTTTTTAAATGTGGCATCTGCATTCCATCTTAATCAGTCAGTTACCATGCCAACATTTTCTGATGTATATTTCCCCATAAAGACCTTACTTCACAAACTTGATGGTAAAAGGTCTATGACTTCTATCTAGAACATCCATTCAGCTTTCTATTTCATTCAAAAGCCACTGTAATTTGAATCTTCAGGGTCCGTCCCTCCATGGACCTGTAAACAGCTTGTCTTTACGAGTAGCACAAACCTCTAGAAGAACCTTGTGGAGTTTTTAATAGATGATTTTCCCTCTTCTGGTGTGAGGATCTGGGTTCAATCCAGACCAGTAAGGTGTTCTGTCACCACCTGTCCTGTAGCCCTGGGTGCCTTTGTACCGTGCAGCTTTGGTTCAGAGCCCTGATACCAACAGTCTGATCATTACCACACTGATCTCATCCTGGCTTCCACCAACTTGGTTGCTCCTTGCATGGTAACACCAACACCCTTCCAGTCCCAAGTTCTCCCCAAACAACGTCTTTCTCTGCAGTGCTCAGCCTCTCTGACTGTAGCACTCACAAAATCTTAACAAGTTCACTGCTCCTTTAAAGAGACAGTACACCGCAGTTTATTAACTTAACTGGGTTTGACAAACTTTCCACTTCAAACAAAGCACTGAGTTGGTTTATAGGTAAAGTAAAACAAGTTTATTAACAAAACGACATAGGTTTAAGTGATACCAAGCAGAAAGAATAACGATAAAAATGGTTATCAACAAAGTAAAATGCATTTTTAAGACTGAAACTTAACTTAATTCGTTATAGTTCTTGTTCAAGATACTTTCCCTACTTAAAGTAAATTCTCCAGCATGACTGGTTTTTCCAGCCAGGATCAACCCTTACAGATTCAAAGAGCTGGCTTCTTTGTTCCCTAGAGATGGATAACTTAGAGGTTCAATCTCCCTCTCTTTGTAGTCCCGCAAACCTCTGAAATGTATTCTTCTATAGGGTCTCCCCATATAAAGTTCCTTTCCCCTGCTGGGTGTGGACGCCATGCTGTCTGATGCAGACTCCATGCTGGTTCCTCCCCCTGTTGATTTTTACAATGCAAATGATCTCTTCCTGCAACTTCCGATACAAATGAATAGCCCACTGAATTTGACCATGCCTGGTTTGAGGTGTTGACCTCTTTCCTTTGTCTGGAGAAAACCTGTTTATGAACTCCTGCTAACATGCCTGGTTTAAACACAGTTTAGTCACATATTTCCAGCATATCTGTAAAGTTTTTTGTGGGTTAACCATACAGACCTCACACAAGAATATAAATAATCCACTGAATGCATCCAGTGAATTGAGCTGTAGCTCACGAAAGATTATGCTCAAATAAATTTGTTAGTCTCTAAGGTGCCACAAGTACTCCTTTTCTTTTTGCGAATAATCAGAGAGTTATTAGTTTTCCAATTATTTATTACATGCCACCTTTTGAGTAAATATCATGACAACTGGCATTGTGGTGCTCTTAGGGTCACATCTGGGTTTTTGTAAGGGAAGTATCAAGACTCAGAGGATTTGAAGAGCAGCCAGCCATGTGGAGTTCTCTACATGCTTCCACAAAGCACTATTGCAAAGACTCAGCTCTGTGCAATAATTCAGATTATTATAGTTTCCAGGTTGAAAATGCTTTCTCCCTGGTCTCCTAGATATTTTGTGGGAATAGGTCTATAGATTATCTGTTGTTTAGGTATTTTATCGTCATATATGAGAGAGAAAAACAATTTGGGGCAGAGTGTTTTTCTTCACACCAGTCTGTAAAGCGGTGAGCACACTGTTAGTGTAATATAGTTGAGTTTTAAATGAATTTTGGGATTGCTTATAATTTGAATGCATAAGGGTGCTAAAGAGGCTCTGTTTCTTTCTGGTTTTGCTAGAAAGATCCCTTTGTAAACAACAGCTTCTAAATTTTTGATACCCTCTCTAGAAAATACTGGACAATCACATACCTATTTAAGGAGGCTAGATTTAAAACAGGCAATAATCCCCCTCCCCCATGGACTTTGGTGCAGCAAAAATAGATCTTGGCCAATATTTTCAAAAGCAACCAGTGATTTGGGGTGCCTACCTTGAAACACCTTAAAAAGGTCTTATTTTCAGAAAATACACAGCACCCACTCACTGAAAATCAGAATCCTTTAAGATGTCTCAGCTGGACATCAAAAATTGAGGCAATGAAAATCACGGGTCACTTTTGAATATCTTGATCAAGCTTATCACCATTATCTTCAGTTTATACCTTCCGTCAGACTTTTGTAACAGTACTAAAGGCAATGGTGTTACACAGGTTTAACTGAGGGCAGAAGTTGACCTACAAAATTTTAATTACTGAGATAGTGTGTGAGCCAGAAAGAACCAGCTTTGCTTTCAGAACCCAGACTGAGTTTGCATGCCTGACTGTTAGGGGTGGGGGAATAGTAAAATTAGCAAATTTGATATGGAGTCATTGAGACAAAATAAATGGGGCATCCCGAGAGGAGAACCACCTTTTAAGATCTCAGCACTAAGATGAATGTCTGTTGGTAGTCTCCCATCTTCCAAAATAGATGAATTTCTATATACAAATGTCATCTGTGGCACCAAAGTCCTGTTTCCAAAAGAGTTTTAGGAGGTTGTCGCATTCACTTTCATTGAGACTTAGGCTCCTAAGGGCCAGATTTTCAAAGGGAGTTAGGTGCCTAACCTGCTTAGGTGCTATTGAAAATCCCATTAGGCATTTATCTACATCTTTAGCTGCCTACACACCTTTAAAAATCTGTCCCTGAGTGCCTCATTCACTTTTGAAAATGGGATTAAGGCTCCTACATAACTGGTACTTTTAAAAATTGTATCTAAAGCATAGGTTTTAGCATTCACAGTGTAATTGGGCCATCAGTCTTTATGAAAACCTTGAACAAAATTAATAAATATGACACTTGCTAAGAGTTAGGATAGAAGAAGTGAGTCTGTCTGAACAAAACAACTGAGTAATCCGAGGCCTCTTTCCTCACTTACCACCAAACATGCCAGGGTAAAAAACGGCTCTGTGGCTGCAATTGCTAATTGGAAGAGGGCTTTGTTTATAGAAGAATTGCACATAAACTGTTCTTTGTTGCACTGTATATAAATTAATTGGTTTCAAAATTCCTCTCTCCTTAAGGGTTGGGAATGAATTGCTTGTCAGTCAGTCCCTGTGTTTATGAGGATTATCAGACATACCCTTACGAGAGAGAGAGAGAGATTTTCATTTGCCTGCTAATTTCTTCCTCTTAGTGCATATGATAATCTCCCTCTCCCTCCTGTGAATGGCATCTCTTTGCTTGCTTCATACAGCATTTTGAAGGTTTCTTTAATGTCATTACAATGTTTTTCATCCTTACCATTTTGGAGGAGCTCATCTGGAGAGGGAAAGCAGAAGAGCAGATCTGATGATATCTCTGCCCTTTACTGGCATTTCTGCTGTTGTAGCCGTCTTTGTAGTTGTAAACACTTTCCGAGCAGGGCTCGGTAAGACAGTAGTTATACTAGTGGTTAGTGGTCTCACCATAGCTATTACAGGTGGAGCTGAACTAGTGGTAGCAAAAGTGGGACTATTTTAGCAAAAGAGCATTTCGTAGAGAGAGCCAAAGAGAGGAAATTATCAGGTAAGAAAAACAGTTTCTTTTACAGGTGCAAAACTGCACTGTGCATCAGACTGCAAATTTGAAGCATGGTAAAGTATATATTTGACTTGTTTTTAAACTCTATTGTAGTATGGCCTGACATTGGGAGAAATTATTTGGTTTTAACAGGAACTTGTCAGTTTGTACCTGAGAGTTTCATAATGAATAATCTCTCACTATAGGCCTTAGTAAGCTCACAGCAAGACAACCACTTGAACCACTAGGGGACTTCAACCAACTCACCAGATGTCTAATTAATGCCTGCTGTCAGCTGCTAAAATGTCACTTATAGATATTCTTTCTTCACAGCCACTGTTTTAATGATAAAGATTATGCATTGATGTCACTTTGTTCCTGGGTTAATGTTGTGGTTGATAAAATGACTGGCATAGACCGAGCTGCCAAACATGTAGTGGTTTCCAAAGGAAAAAAAGTGCCATACGACCACCTTGTTCTCTGTACTGGGCAGCAATGCCAGGTAAGATTGTGCACATAGTGAATAAATGAACATTTGATGTTTACAGTGATTAACAATTAATATGTTTGTGGAGAGTGTCACAGTTCAGGGCAGCTGCACCCGTATTTTCCCCCCTGATGGTTCAGCAAGGGTGGTCGCTTTAGACTCTCAGCTTTTCAGCAGTCACCTCTCTTGTGTGGGGACCCACATCTCTCTCCTTGTCTGGGGTTTTTCCAGGCTGCATAGTTCCCTGGCTACACTGTGAGTTGCAAGCCAGGTGGTTTAAACGGCCAGTGTCTGTATGTTGCTTTCTCCTGAGGGACTATAAACAGCGTAATTGCCCACTGTCAGGTATCACCCAGCTCTTTCTAAGCAAGGACATTTATTCTTATGAGGAAAGCATGACAGAGAAAACATATTAAAATAATAAAACAACCTACAGGCACGCTACTAAGCTTACATCAGATCACCTCCAACACCAACAAGGGCTCTGGCAGATGATCAGTCCATTAAACCCCACCAAGCAGTGGTTACAAATTCATAACAGCTTCAGCTCGGAACAATCACCCTCATGAGTCTGTGAGTTCCTCCTTTATACAGTTTGGGCCTTTGATCTTGGGATCCTGGGAACAGGTAATCGGCAGACAACTACCTTGTCCTCATGGTATACCTTCAATGGGCTGGGCTTTTGCAAAACTGGAGGTGGGGGTGAGGATGGAATTTGCATTTCCCCCTAGATATCTCCCAGGAAATCCACTTTACATATATTGTCCCAAAAGATCATTCTTGTTTGCTGCATTGTCCAATATAATCCTTTGGTCATCCAGGCCCTGCAATGATACGTAGCCTTTGCATTTAGTACAAGAGACTCCAAAGATGGTTAAACTTTATTCAGGAAGGTTTATCACAGGGTAATGCAGGAAATTGTCTTATCTGTCACAGTGAGGACAGGAGCAGAGAAGTCCACAGCAAGTCTGTTACCAAAGGCCAACAGCTGCAGGTCTGTCACCCTATAAAAGGACTTAGGTTTCATCCAACAGTCCTTAATGGAAAACTGTTGTTGAATTCCCTGGGAATTGTGCTTGAATAAGGCCTGCAGAATTAGGTATTACTACCATGACTTTTGGTAAGGGGTAAGATTTTTGACCAAAATAGTTAAATTGATACAACCTCTAATGGGGACATATTTACATAGCTATAAAGGTACTTTATTCCGGTATAGTTTATTCCACTTCCTGTATGGGAATAAGCTATACTGGTATAAGCACATTTATATCCATGTAACTGCATCATCACTGGGGGGTTGTATTGCTTTAACTGTACCAATATAGTTAAAGTGTCTTGCCTACACCAAAAAATTGTATCAATATTACCAAAACCTTCCACCAGTGATCGCATGAGTGGGAGCAGTCGGATGAACAAGGTTCTGGCAGCTCGCAGCCTTTTTGCTACCGTGACAATCAAGCCTGCTGCAAAGCAGGTGTAGTTAATACAACAGTAAAAGTAGGTCCAGCCATGGAAACCTTATCTGTATTAGGGCTATGCCCCACTAAACCCCTGGTAGCGCTGGTAGGAATTTTTTTGTAAAAAACACCAGCATACACAAGGCTTGAGAGAATTTCAGCTGAACATAATAATATTTCTAAATCCACACAGGCATATATTACAGTAACAAATATTTTCTTTAAGCATAAAATGAAATATATTTCTATTGGAAATGTAGATTCTGTTTGTTATGCAGTGAAGTCATACAGCATTTACTTTACTGGCCAGAGCCTTAGCATAGGAGAGAAGGGGAGCCGTCCGGGGCCATTTCTCAAGCTGCAGTGGTTTTGGCCTCAGTGTAAGCTGAAGCGGTGCTGGGGCAGCTCTAAATTACTACACCTGGCTGTGGTCCCTAATGGGGAGAATTGCAGAATGAGGCTGAGCTCTGCTCTCTCCCTGACACATGCCGCTTTGTGGGTGGCTGGGCTGCTTTCAGTTTTGTACCGTTAGTGGGGTTCTGCTCTCAACAGTGACTCTAGAAAGGGCATTGTGGAGTTCCATGTTTATTGTGCCTATGACTTCCATATTAAATGTGCTCAGATATAAATAAAATGATGCTATCTGTCAGCCCTGCATACACAGCTTGGACTCGGACAGCCACATTGGGTTCTTTTTCTTGTGTATCATCACAAGGCAATAAGATTCTAAAACCAAGTTGTGTCCTCTGTGACACATGTGCAGCTGCATTGCCTTCAATGAGTTTACACCAGTAACTAATTGGCTTTTATGTAAAACCCATCAAAAACCTATTTTTGTCACTAAAATCAGCAGATGTGACTGAATATGTTTTTTAGCCTTTTTTATAGCACTTGTCCCCGTAGTCACAAACTTTAATGTTAATCTTCAGCCCCCAAGTGAGGTCAGGAATGGACACCACGAACAGAGCTCTTAAGTAAAAAAGTACCATTTTTACATAGTTGCTTTTCAGAGTAGAATGTCGCTTTGAACAGCTAAATATGTTCACAGTTCGACAGATGGACTAAAAAGTTAAACCAAAATGCATCCTGAACTTGTTTGGATCTCCCTATATAGCTTCTACAGTGTGAAAGAAATCTTTTGGAAGCACCCTACCACCTGCAAACATGTTGGGGACAGTAGCTAAGCTGGAGGAGAGAGAGAGAGAAAAATAAGGAGGGGAAGGGGAAATGCAGAATTTATCTGCCTTTGCTGTTAAAAAGCGCAAGATTTTTTAAAAGTTCAGATGCTAGGAAGAAGTATTTTATCATCCAATTTCTATTTTATTTACGTAGGGCTAGCTTTTGCCACACTTACGAGTTGTACCTTGGCAAGTAGTGGCATTGATTTCAATAGGTCTGCTGACTTAAGATCCTATTCACTATGAATGGGAGTGGCAGAATGTTTCCTTATTAGATAAATAAGACATGGAGATGCCACATCGGTGTTTCATGTGGCTAGATCACATGAAGCCCAGTGGCCAATGAGAGCATTGCTCTGAACAGTTCTTGCCCAATGCTTCAAAATCATAGTTGATTCTTCAATAAAATCATGGTTTAATTGCTTACTGTACTAGTAATGTTAAACCATTCAAATGTTCATGTAATTTTTATCTTACACACTCTAAAAAATTATAGCCTCCTCTCTCACACAGAATTGCTCCAATTTTAGAAATTTTAATTTTGTTGTGAAAAGGAAAAAAGAGCTCGTTGTAGTTAAAATTTTGCTTGTTAAAATTGCTAACTGTACGTTAAACAAATAGTTACCAAGATGCTTTATCTGCATATTTATACAATTCTGGTAGCCAATTGTTGTGAAGTCCCTTTTAGTCTGTACATTATTCACATTTTTGTTGTTCATTTTTCTTATGTTCACTTCTTAACACCACTATTTTAAATGGACACTTAGGGTATGTCTACACTACGAAATTAGGTCGAATTTATAGAAGTCGGTTTTTTAGAAATCGGTTTTATATATTCAAGTGTGTGTGTCCCCACAGAAAATGCTCTAAGTGCATTAAGTGCATTAACTCGGTGGAGTGCTTCCACAGTACCGAGGCTAGAGTCGACTTCCGGAGCGTTGCACTGTGGGTAGCTATCCCACAGTTCCCGCAGTCTCCACTGCTCATTGGAATTCTGGGTTGAGCTCCCAATGCCTGATGGGGCTAAAACATTGTCGCGGGTGGTTCTGGGTACATATCATCAGGCCCCCGTTCCCTCCCTCCCTCCGTGAAAGCAAGGGCAGCAATCGTTTCGCGCCTTTTTTCCTGAGTTACCTGTGCAGATGCCATACCACGGCAAGCATGGAGCCCGCTCAGCTCACTGTCACCGTATGTCTCCTGGGTGCTGGCAGACGCAGTACTGCATTGCTACACAGCAGCAGCAACCCATTGCCTTGTGGCAGCAGACGGTGCAATAGGACTGGTAGCCGTCATCGTCTGTCCGAGGGGTCCTGGGCCCCTGTGGGGGGGTCAAGGGGCCGCCGGGAAAAGGGGGGGGGGAGAGATTAGGGGGGGTCACTTCTTTTCCCTTCACTCCCCTTTGGGGGGGGGGGGGGTGCTAGCAGTCCTCCCCCCCCCCCCCCTGCGCCCCCCGGTTCTCCCCTGTTTTTCCCCCTCTTGGGTTTTTCTTAACCTCCATATTGAGGATGCTCCTGGTCGCCTGTGTGAGGTCTGATACCATTGAGAACAGTCTAGAGCCATCCTCTTTGGAACCCCCTTTCAGGGGGTTGGAATCAAATCCCCCCCTCCCTTCGCCGGCAAACAACCCCCCTCCCCCCCCCCCCCAACCTTTCCCCCCCCTTTTTCCCCCCTCCAGGACCGCCTTGGGGCAGACGATTTGATACTATGGGCCCAGGACCTAAAAAATACTCACTGAGAAGGTAGTTAGTAGCATGACTTGGGAGGGAGTGACTTGCTCATGTCAGGACGAAGTGGATAAAAAAAAAGTACATTCTCTTTAGTCCTGCAGTCAGTCCTAGTTGAACCATCTTATGGTGCAGCCCCATTTTTTTGTTGAACTTGAAAAATTCTTGTTACTCTTACATCTCTGCTACTCACTCCAGGTGGGATTTGGCCCTCCTGATAAATTCTTAATCCCTTAAAAATTTTTTTATTTCTGGTCATATGTCAACCTTCACTTCTTGTAAGCTCTTTTTATGTTTAAGATCCGCAAGATTTAATTAAAATTGTGATATTTATATTCTTTATATCGGATGGTTGTCTGTACCTCAAAGGATTTGAATAAATTGATTTTCCTTAATTAGTCAGGATTATTTTGAGGGAGTAATTTTGAAGTAGGTATTTTTTTTTTAATTAAAATATAATTATTTTATAATATGGAGCAGGTAGAAAGCGCCCCCAGTTGGCTCTGAGCACTTGCGCCAGGAATCATCTTCTGCCGGGCAGGCAAGAGATGAGGAGGCTAGCAGTCCTATTGTACCATCTTCTGCCCAGCAGCCATGAGATGTGGATGGCATGCAGTCCTTCTGCACCGTCTGCTGCCAGCCAAAGATGTAAAAGATAGATGGAGTGTATCAAAACAAGAAATAGATCAGATTTGTTTTGTACTCATTTGCAAACCCCCCTGTGCCCCCCCCCATCTAGGGGACTCATTCCTCTAGGTCACACTTCAGTCACTCACAGAGAAGGTGCAGCAAGGTAAATCTAGCCATGTATCAATTAGAGGCCAGACTAACCTCCTTGTTCCAATAAGAACAATAACTTAGGTGCACCATTTCTTATTGGAACCCTCCATGAAGTCCTGCCTGAAATACTCCTTGATGTAAAGCCACCCCCTTTGTTGATTTTAGCTCCCTGTAAGCCAACCCTGTAAGCCGTGTCGTCAGTCGCCCCTCCCTGCGTCAGAGCAACGGCAAACAGTCGTGCATCTTAGTTGAGAGTGCTGTCCAGAGCAGTCACAATGGAGCACTCTGGGATAGCTCCCGGAGGCCAACACCGTCCAATTGTGTCCACAGTACCCCAAATTCGACCCGGCAAGGCCGATTTAAGCGCTAATCCACTTGTCAGGGGTGGAGTAAGGAAATCGATTTTAAGAGCCCTTTAAGTCGAAATAAAGGGCTTCATCGTGTGGACAGGTGCAGGTTTACATCGATTTAAAGCTGCTAAATTCGACCTAAAGACCTAGTGTAGACCAGGGCTTATTAAGAGTTGCGGGAGTTCAACAACTATGGATTTCCCCTACAGCCAGTTCCTGTCAGTATCTGTTTCTGGATCATCAGAGCACACCTGGCTTGAACAGGGTGACATGAGATTCAAATTCTATTTTTTCCCATGCCATTCTTGATCATCTTCTTTACTTTTAAACCCCTAAGGCTGTTCAGTTGCAATTGCAAGATTCTTGTGGAACTTTTTAACATTCATCTTCCTCTCATTTATGAAAACTGGCTGTGATGCTTTGCATACTGATCACTGTATATAACTCATTACAAAAAGCAATAACCATGAAATGAAACATAGTTTAATACCATTGCCAGCAATTTTGCTGTTTAGCAGAATGTTTCCACAAAAGTGATAGTCATAAATAACTCATGTCATTTTTTTGGTGAAACCCTTTCAGTGTTTCAAGAGGTATTTTTGAAAATATTGTTATAAACAATGGCCCAGATCCTGTTGTTTACCCGAGCTGTTCTTGTACAAGAGCAAAGGAAGGGGGATCAAAGGTAGCTTTTAGCATTCTTCATACTGGGACTGACCTAGACTCTGGTTCTAATTTATGCCCTGCTGTCCTCAGTGTCAAGAGAGTGTTTTGGCATTCTGGGATAATCAGGTTATAGAGAAAATCCAAGATACATCTTCTTTCAGCTACACTCCCTATGCTGGAGATCAGGAGAGTGGTGGCGTGGAACTAATATTCCTCTGCCACCCCAGTTTTCTCCTACAGTGGGAGAATCCTCTGATAGCTGAACTCACAGGCTGTCCAGCTACTCTGCACAGCCAGAGCAGGGCAAAGCATGAAGAGCATGCCCCGAGATGGGAGCCAATAACAATTGTGGTAAAGGACAATTCCTGTAAAATGGAGAATTGAGGGGTTTTTGTCATTTCCGTTTTTAATTGACTGTTTGAAGATAAATTTAAGCATATGATGTGTGCTGCATTTTGTGTGTGCACTTGCATATACACATAGCAAAAAAAATGGTTAATCCTTGTAGGTTCTTCAAAATCCTGCATTGCTTCACAGATCCTGCAAGGAACAGAAAATTAGATATAGTAACACTCATCTGTTCTCTTTATGACCAGTGACTTGTTGATTACAAATTATATGTCCAAAAAGAATCAAACTTTTACAGGGCTAGCATTTTTTATATGGTCAGATACTTTGTGTCATTGCTATTCAAAGTCTCAGTTAACAGTTATATGTGCATTATATTTATGTCAGGTTCCATGTCCCACTGGAGCAGAGATCAGTAAACTTTGGACTAACAAGGAAATCATACACCGCTGTAAACAAAGATATACTGGTGAAGTTCCGACCAATCTCTTTAATCTCTCTGATGATCAAGAGTGCTTAAAGGCAGGGCATTGGTTAAAAGAAAACTTTATCAATTCACACGGTAAGGATTTTAGTGTAAACATGTACATTTTCAGAAATGAATTTAGGCTTATTGTTTCTCCTTTTCCAATGTATAATTAGTGCCTAATTAATTCTAACAAAATCTTTCATCTGCCACGCTTTGTTTTCCATATTAATTTACAATTTGTTGTTATTTTTGGGTATCCAGCATATTTTCCTAGGAAAAATGGCTTGAGATTACTTAATTATCTATAATTATTATATGACACAAAATGAATGTCCTAAAAGCAAAGCCTGGCTAGAATAATTAACTAATTAAAGAATAATTTAATTAGTAAACATGTTTTGCAATTATATAGGAAAATATGTAGATCTGGAAAGCGCTATAGAGAAAAAAATTAGCATGGATATTTTTTCAAACACTATTGTCTCTGTGTTGAATATCATTGTTAGTTACAGCCCCTCAGACAGAATTGCCTGTGTACTATATTTTCTGTTAAACTATACAAGTCACACATTTGTGTGAATCTCTATATCCATCATCATATTTCTGTTGTCTCAAACTATCTTCAGTAGATCCTCCATTTATTGCTCACAAGCTATTAAAATTAGACTAAAATACACCTTATATCTTCTTTGAGAGCCTCTTACATTTCACATACATGGTGCTGAGTTCAGTTTGTGTATGCAACAGAAAATATGTGGGATCCTCATGCCTTACTCTACAGAAAAAGAAATAAAATGGGCTCACATTATAGCTCTTCCGAGTTTCTGATCAGAACTAATATATAGCTAGGAGGAGGAAATGTATCTTTAGAGATAGGTATTCTAGCTGATGGTTACAACTGGATTTCCATAAAGGTGTAGTCTAGCCCAGTGGTTCTCAACGAGAGGTTCGGGGGGCCCTAGGGGGCCATCAAAAGGTTTCAGGGGGTCCATCAAGCAGGGCCAGCATCAGACGCACTGGGGCCCAGGACAGAAAGCTGAAGCCCCACCACCCGGGGCTGAAGCCAAAGCTTGAGCAGCTTAGCTTCATGGGGCTCCCTGTGGCTTGTGGCCCCAAGCAATTGCCCTGTTTGCTACCCCCTAATGCCAACCCTGGCTTTTATATGCAGAAAATCAGTTATTGTGACACAGGTGGGCCGTGGAGGCTTTATAGCATGCTGGGGGGCCTCAGAAAGAAAAAGGTTGCGAACGCCTGGTCTAGCGTTCATCTACTCACTTTCAATTGAGAGCATAATTAAAAAATGATGGTGACAGTGTATGGTCTACAAAAGTGCACGTCCTACTTAATAGGCCTTTAAGGAGATTGTCAGAGTGCTAGAACTTTTTATTCCTCCTCCAACTCCTGCCCTATGATCTAAAAGTGTAGGTCCTGGATCTGATCTATGCTATCATTCATATAGTCTCACAAATAAATTTTCTACTCGCAGCAGCTTGGCCCAAAATGTGTAAATAAAACATCTTTGCATCTATGTTTCGTCAATACTAAACCCTAAGGTACACGTTTTTGTCTGGTTTCCAGTTGATATACATGCCTGCATTTGTATGTAAATTGGGGTGTTAGCTTTCTGTCTACACACTATGCATACACACAGTTGCTGAATTTACCCATACAGTAAATGTGTAAATGGCACAGTAATGTTGTGTATACACCAACTGAAGGCTTTAGGATATTTGGGTTTAAATACCTTGACAATATATGCTTCTTAAGTATAAAATTTTATATCAGGTAAGTTTGAGTGCTGATTTATTTTGTGATTACTCCCGCCTTTTATTTTAGTTTGATGGCTGTGGTGTTTTGTTCTGATGACAGGATGGATATCTTAATGAGATACTGATCTCGTCTTTAATTATAAGTTTAATCCAAAAGTGCACAGTTACATCAGTTAAAGTTTCTTTCTTAGCAGAGCCATAGTGAGCAGGACACATGGTGCTTTTTCCCCTCACACTACCTCTTTGGCTCCTCCTTCCCTTTCTCCATCTTCCGTCTTCCTCCTTTGTTTTGTGTCCCTCTTCTTGCTTCTACATATACTTCCCCTATGTTCCTGTCCCCTCTGCCGTCTCCCTTTCACTGCCCTTGTTCTGTCCCCTCTCCATTTATATCCCTTATAGATCTTGTTCTTTCATACCTCATCTCAGCAGTATACAAGATACCTGCTCTCTGGGGAAAAAAAATCAATTTTTCACCAGCTAACCTATTTGGGAGACAGTCTGATAAGTGACTGGGTCAGGGTAGATTTGGGAGCAGAGAGCTTGCAAAGATTCAGCAATTGATTTGGACATTTATCAGCTGTCTTCAGGCCATACTGTCACTTCCACCTGGCTGACTGCAGCTTGTGGGCACCTCTGGTTTAATCTTATTTTTAACTTTTACTTTTCAACTTGGGAACCTTTCTAGAATTTTGTCATCTTTAAGAGAGAGTAATACAGTAGGTGATACATTTCCTTTATTCAGACTTGATTACTATAAACTGTTCTTCATCAGATTTCCAATCGAAACCATTAATTCATTTTAAACTTTTTTTGGAATTCAGAGCTTTTCAGATAATGCTGGAAGTTAAAAAAAATTCGTATTAAGATACTACAGTGGAGAAAAATGGATTACCAGTGACATGCTACACTGATTTTTATTTCCAACCTATAGCATATGCACTTCATTTTTCCAGTTCAGAAAAATAATTCTTATTTCTTTGTATTATACAAATTATATGATGCATCCTTCTAATTCCAGTTATTTTCATGCTTCTTTCTAACTAATGCATTGTACTACTCATATTTTAGCTGTCCACTAACTTCATCTAATGAGGTTCCTTTTGTGGTTTCCAGCCTACTGTACCAGACAGATGCTTTGTTGCTTCTCATCTGGAGTAAATCATTGTAGCTCCACTGAAATCAATGCTATGCCAATTTACATTAGATGAGAATCTAAACCAGCTGACATTTGTTCCTGACTTAAAATCCCAGGCCTCGATCCTATAACTAAAAGTGGGAGTTGGAGGATTGAGCCCCAGATCTTCAGTTTGTGACTTCACAGTAGGTTGCACTGGCAGTGATTATGAAATTACTAACCAAATACAACAAAAAGTTTTGTTTTCAAATAAATTCCATTCTTGGTTCATGAAGAAAATTGCTTCTTATTTTTTGAACTCTTAGACTGCTAGGTTGAGCAAAATGAATAGTTTTCCTTTAAGAGTATGTGAGGTCATGGGGGACAGATTTAAAAGGCATTTAGGTGCCTAAAAATGCAGATACATGCCTCATGGGACATTTGAAAGTTCCTAACCATGTCAGACACCAACTCCCATTTAAATTAATGGGATTTAGACTCATGTGTCTTTTGAGAAAATAATTCTAGGCACCTATTTGCACCTTTAGATGCCTAAATACCTTTGCAAGTGTGGCCCACAGTTGTCTCTCTCTGAACCTGTTACTGATGGGGGGCTTTGTCTTATTCACAAAATGGTACCATCCATAATATTAACATTATAAGAGCACAACGGAAGACTGTCATCAAGTTCCATTCTGCTTTAAAGTGTGTTTCTATCCTAACAGGTAGCTTTGTAATAATGCCAGTGTGGAATTCTATATTCATTGCATTCCTCTGATTTCTATATCAAATATGCTTCATTTGAAAGCATAAGATATTAACTCACCCTTATAGAGGGTGTGTAGTGAGGTTATACAGCTTTATGAGAGGAACTAATTTTGCCCTTCCATTCCCCTATTATTGGTGATGAAAAAAAGCCCATATTGACTCTCAGATGCATTCTGAGTTTGCAGGACTGGCGATTTGTGGGGTGGGGAAACATCCTTGTACTTTCAAATATTCTCAGTTTGCTATAGAGCCCAGGGAGATGCAATAAATATGTAACTTTTTACTGTAGAACCTCACTTTAGAATTGTCAAGGTTCCTTCCCCACTCTGAACTCTAGGGTACAGATGTGGGGACCTGCATGAAAGACCCCCTAAGCTTATTCTTACCAGCTTAGGTTAAAACTTCCCCAAGGTACAAACTTTTACCTTTTGTCCTTGAACCTTTATGCTGCCACCACCAAAGTGTCTAACAAAAATAACAGGGGAAGTGCCCACTTGGAAATGTCTCCCCACCCAAAATATCCCCCAAGCACTACACCCCCTTTCCTGGGGAAGGCTTGATAAAAATCCTCACCAATTTGCATAGGTGAACACAGACTCAAACCCTTGGATCTTACGAACAATGAAAAAGTAATCAGGTTCTTAAAAGAGAATTTTAATTAAAGAAAAAGTAAAAGAATCACCTCTGTAAAATCAGGATGGTAAATACTTTACAGGGTAATCAGATTCAAAACATAGAGAATCCCTCTAAGCAAAACCTTAAGTTACAAAAAGACACAAAAACAGGAATATACATCCCATTCAGCACAACTTATTTTATCAGCCATTTAAACAAAACAGAATCTAACGCATATCTAACTAGATTGCTTACTAACTCTTTACAGGTTTCAGAGTAGCAGCCGTGTTAGTCTGTATTCACAAAAAGAAAAGGAGTACTTTGTGGCACCTTAGAGACTAACAAATTTATTTGAGCATAAGCTTTCGTGAGCTACAGCTCACTTCATCGGATGCATTCAATGGAAAATACAGTGAGGAGATTAATATACATAGAGAACATGAAACAGTGGGTGTTATCATACACACTGTAACCAGAGTGATCACTTAAGGTGAGCTATTACCAGCAGAAGAGTGGCGGGGTGGGGGGGACTTTTGTAGTGATAATCAAGGTGGGCCATTTCCAGCAGTTCACAAGAACGTCTAAGGAACAGTGGGGGGTAGGGGAATAAACATGGGGAAATAGTTTTACTTTGTGTAATGACCTATCCACTCCCAGTCTCTATTCAAGCCTAAGTTAATTGTATCCAGTTTTCAAATTAATTCCAATTCAGCAGTCTCTCGTTGGAGTCTGTTTTTGAAGTTTTTTTGTTGAAGAATTGCAACTTTTAGGTCTGTAATCGAGTGGCCAAAGAGATTGAAGTGTTCTCCAACTGATTTTTGAATGTT